CTTCCATACGAAATGAAGGTCTTGACAACAATCTTATCTCATAAGATTCTTCGAAACCCGCATTTTATTCGTATATAATTATTATTGCCTTTAAGGCAATTGATTTTTTATAACCAGATTGGGATTCTTTTAGGAAAAATGTGAAAAATGGCTAATCTTCAATAATATTATGAATGGGATTATTATAAAAAAGAGTCCGTAGAATCACGCGACAGCCGTAGGATCAGTTGCAGATAAACAAGTGACTGCACAAGACTTCTTGACCTAAAACTAGTAAACTTTCACTAATTGACTAAAGAATGGACTTTGAAGAATAAAGGTCCGATCTTTAGATTAGTGCTTTAAGCAAAGCCTACAAAAAATAAGAAATTTGCCTTTTCATTATAAATTCAAGCCTGTATATGAAAATTGAATTAGCAACCAAAATTGATACCAATTTTAAAGAAAACTGCCTGGGAATCAGGATTTAGGATTATATAGAGTGCTTGACCTCTTTATGCTGCCTTAGATATTTGTTGTTGAACACTTGATAAGTAAAAGGGCGACAACCGAAGACATGAAGACCAAGATGTTTCCTTTACTATTTAGCAGACAGACAGCCAAGGATGGACTTTTGACGAATCGTAGTTTGGTTCTAAAGAATGCAAATATCATTGAAGATGCCGATTAAGACGGCGAAACATCTGGGAATGCACTAAGTCTACGCTGCGAGCTAGGAAATTATAATTAGTTAGGCGGAGGAATTTGAACAAGGTGATTTTATCTAGGTCTCTCTGACATACGACTAAGTTAAGAAAACGAGGTCAAACAACTTCTATAAATAGAGCTACAGCCAGTTAGTAAGAGCTGAAACAAGTCTGGAATCCTAAAATTGTTATACAAATTTTCAAAAATATTAATTACAAATAAAAATATCTGTCCAATTTCACAAAGATCCTCACAAATAAAAGGATTCTATGAAAATCGGATTAATCGGAATGTACAATCTAATTTGCATTTTTGAAAATGTTTGGAAAGAGCATATAATTGATTAAGGGTTTTGATTACTCTCATATAGCATAGGGCTTTCTAGATTGACCATTGAATCCTTATAGCTATTAAAATCCACTACTGGTGACAGATTCACGTATGGATGCAGTTGACTAGAGGGCATAAACTCTTGAAGAATTAATCACAATAAAAGAATTACGGTAACGACCGGCTTAATCTACCCTAGGATAATCCTAATTCGCTAGTTAAGGCCAATGTCTAAAATCTATACGAGCTAAAAATATTGCAGCAAAGAGGAGTTCTCAAAATGTATAAAAAAATAAATTGTTGAGAAAATAATTTGAGAATGGAGGCTTTAGCCAAAGTCATGTCTTGAAAATAAATAATCTTTATTTATGCCTGTCTAAAACTAGTGAGAGGCCCATTTCAATACAATTTTCAGAGATCACCAATGATAAACTAATAGCAACAAAGTATAACAATAGCTAATAGTAAGAATAAAATCATATCAGTTTGACTAACCAGAATGTAAAAGGTAGGTACCATCGAAACCGCAGGAATAGGCCGTATGGTGCACCTCGCTCATTGAAGCCTGACATGTGGCATCTGGACAGGGTGATAAATCATTTGAGTGGCAATCCATCCTAGTGCTGCTATGATGCGACAACTGACCATTCGTCCAAGTTCTAGTGTGAGCCAAGACTCCACCTTCGCCTCCCCCTCCGATGCCATCAGCGCTATCGCCAACAGCGGAATCACTTCCCTCTGTGTTGTTGATGTCACCAGGAGAGTCTGGGCCGATAAAATCCTTATCTGTAGTTGGAAGAGAAGTATCTGGAGCACAGGCAACAACAGCAGGGTGTAATCCTTTTTGTGTAGAAATCCTGTGGGTCAGAAGCCTAGTTAATTGTGCGAACGTCGGCCGCAGTTGTGGCTCAGTGTGCCAGCAATCAAGCATTAAGCTGTAGACGCTGAGATCAGCAGCAGCTGGCTGCGGATATCGCTCGCCTGCCAGCAAAAGAGCCGGCATACGTTGCGGTGGTACGCTAGGGAATGGCTGAGCGCCGAAGGTAAAAAGCTCCCAAAGTACTACGCCGAACGACCAGCTAAATATTAATAAATCAAAATTCGGTGCATCAAATTTGAAGTCTGATTTAATGAATTTATCGAAAGCTTCTTGATAAGGATTTTTAAAATAGGAATGTCTGAATCCGCTGTACAAGTAAAAACATTTCAAAACTAAAGGTCTAAGTAGACACTATAAAGCCTCATACAATGAAATATTGTAGAAGTATGTCTAAGGATGGTTGATTAGTGCTTTCTCTAGGGAAACTTTTATATAAGAAAAACCGACAGCCTTTCAAATACATTATCAGAAATTCAGTATTTGGATCATTAATGCATTCAGAGATTCAAGTCTATACCGATAAATCAAGCAAAATAATCGAATGGTAGGTCGCATATTCAGATAGATTTGAAAGTAATGTGCTTAAGTGACTACAGGAAAAGCATAAAAATGTGAAATTTTGGCATAATCAGGTTCTTTAACAGCGTAATAGCAAGACCAGTTTAAAATGCTACACTACTAGAGCATATAAAATAATGATGCAAGTGTAGGGGAAAATCAGTTATATAAAAGCCTTGAAGCCAAGGCTTTCATAAATACTACGCTTTGGATATAATATATCTACTGGCAATATCTGAACAAATAAAGAAAGTATCTTCAAATGATTTTTGCTGAGTAAAATTATAAATTACTAATAATGATTTTGGCTTAAATGGCTGAAATCTGCTCAAATATGAAGACTTCCAATACTGTAGCCAAATTTGTGCTGAAGAGAGTTGGAAAAACGATTAAAAAATAGCCCAGATGAATTCCCTTATCTAAACATAAAGATGATACTAAATATGTTAAAGGTATTTCCCATAAAAATAT